TCCTTCCTTCCTTCCTTCCTTCCTTCCTTCCTTCCTTCCTCCCTCCCTCCCTCCCTCCTTCTCTGGATCTCCACTTGCTTTTGCAAATCATCCTGATTTTGAATTTAACATTTATGCAACTTTTACTCCAAGATTAAGGCCAACTTATATTCCCTTCCGAGAGAGTAAACTGACTCGCCTCTTCCAACCATTCTTCTGTGGTAAAGGCAAAGCCTGCATGATTGTCAACGTTAGTCAATGTGCTTCCACATATGATGAAACACTGCATGTAATGAAGTTTTCTGCTGTGGCAAAGCAAGTAAGAAAGATGCGATACCCTTCACAATACAGTGAGCATATCACATATCTTGTGATACCACTTTAGCCATATGGATTGATTTGTTTTCTGTGACAGCTCATCTTGTTTGAGTTGGCTAATAGAGAAGTTGACTTTACTCACTTCCTTTGGCTGAGAGAATTTGAATTCACTTTTGTCATAATAATTTAATGTGTTGAATTATAATATTCTAGGAAGGTATTTGTATGCATTCATACTGCAGCTTGGGGTAAAAAGACAGAAATGTCTTTTGATGGTTTAATTCCTTATATTCTTCTGTTGGGTTCTTGAAACTATCAAGTTCTGTTGGAAACAATGTCAGCTAAGTCTCATTAACCGTTTAGTTTAAATTAATTTCCCTGCATGCTAGAATAAAAGTGAAGGAGTGGTTTCATAAATGCCTTTGCTCCCATAGCATCACTTTACTAATGCACATTTTTAATGTGGTATCAGACTGCGATGAATTTGGGGAGGGGGTGAAATTCCTAGCTTGAAATAAAATTGTTAGTTTAATTAAAAGGACATTTCAAATAAAAACTCCCTATTTCAGTGGAAAGTGTTTTTGAAATAATTCAGTCATTATTGGAAATCAAGTGACTCTTATTTAAGTTAGTGTATCTTGAAAATGGTTTTATATCAATTGAAGATTGATAACCCTTAAAAGAAACAACTAAACTATTTTTTATAATTATACTAATTGTTCACCTGTCTTGTTAAAAGAATTTTCTGGTATGTTTTAAAAGTGGGTCTGTCCCAGTTGCACATCAACTTGAGACAGATAGAATCCATTTTTAAGAGCAAGAAGGGCATGACCTTCTTTGACTCTTAAAATTAACCTCTACACCACACACTGGACTCTTTTTGTGTGTGAGGACAGAATTCAATGTTAAAGCACCTGTTAATGATTCTTCCAGTTGAAAATATACTTCAAAGCTGTGGAGTTTGTAGCTCCCCAGATGTTAGGGTCCAGTTCCTATCAGCCTCAGACTGTCTATCCAATGTTCAAATATGATGGAACACATTCCATCATTCTGGGTAAATATATTGTTTGCCTCAGAATAAAAAAATATATACATTTGTGCTGAAAATTTAAATCTGAATCATAGATCTACTCTGTGAATGGGTATTTAGAGCTGAATGCATGTAAAAATAACTAGAGGCATTTATTTATACTAGCATAATCTCCAGTCTTCCATCATTAAATTACCTCTTGATGATGAGCTCAATTTTTTCCCCTTAAATCTAGAATTTCTCCGGTAGTTTTCCAAAGAAAGTAAACAAAAACCAAAATTAAAACAATGGCCTTTTTGTTTTAAATCGATCTTAAAATGTGTTTGTGTGTATTTTGTTGTTTTAGGTTATTCAAACATTTCAACACAAGCTCTTCGATTATTTCCCTCAAAAGTATACCAGGAGAGAAGATAAACCTACAGTGCACTTTGATGAAATATCCATTGAGCAATTTCCTATGTATGCTGATGTTGCTACCTCCTCTGAAGATGAGGAAATAGATATCACTATTCTGAGCCATGAGGTAGTCAAAAACTGATTCCTTACAATGCAGTATGTCTATTCAGGAAAAAAAAGTACCTGGTTCATGCGTTGGGTTTTGTTTTTAACAATGGTTTGTTGAGTAAATCATAACTGGTTGGAAAGTATATAAGTGTAACCTATAAGCCGCAGTTTATAAATCCAGAATGGTTGAATTCATGTACCACATGACTCCAAAACTAAGCAAACCACATTATGGCATGGTAAGATGTGAGAACCCATAATTTTTCCAGGTCAAAGTAGTTATATGTGTTTTGTGTATGTGCAAGAAGAGTCATGACAAGACAAGAGTCACGATTTAAGGACTGAAAGCTTTGATAAATAAACTCAAACTACATGTTGATCATGTCACTGGCCTAGTAGTAAATTTAGTAAATGCATAAGTGGAAATGAAACCCAGAAAGAGATGCAGGAGATGATGTTCATCATCTTGCAAAAAAAGTCACTTTAGGCCCCTCTCTCCTTTTCAAGAACCTGATTTTTCTGAGAAAATAGAATAGATATGAATTTACACACATTACAGACCTTACTTCTGCAGCTAGAAGTTTTTCTTCTAACCATACTCTTCTATTCCTCTCTCTTTCTACTCGGCATTCAAAACAATGACCCTGCCTAGTCATGAAAGACCCAATCACTTTCTATTACCTGGAGACCTTCCTACAGAACCACCCACCAAATATAATTAAAGGGGACTGTTGCACTTCAGATTGGAGTGGTTACATGTGATAGGTTTAGACCTCCTCTCCCCATCTGTTACTTTCTGAAATTCAGTATCAGGAATGAAGACTTTAAAAAAAAACAAAAAAAAAACAAAGACTCCATTGCTCATCATTACTAGTGAATTTCAGAACCCAAATGAGAATGGGAGGGTTTTAAGCATTATGTTCCTTGCCTGGCAGTTTCACTCTGAAGCAACACCTGCAAACTTATAGTAAAACACAAGGAGTCGTTGGTACACTGTGTATTTTGATTCCTGTATTACAGTCCTATGCATTCTTAGCTGAGAAATCACCCTACTGACTTCTGCATGAACAATTATAGCAACCATATACTGAGCTACCAGTGCAATGGTAATAATTTTTTCCACTTAGTTCAATAAGAAATTATACACTTAATGGGGCCAAGCTATGAACAGAATCATTTTTAAAATCAGTACAACCCATAGGAAGTACATTGGGCCATTTTTAGTAGTAGTGCATAGCCTGAGATAAAAACCTCTAAGAATCAGCCTTCTGGCTAGTGAAATTCCAGTGTTAGACTTGTCCTATAGTTCCTGCATGACCTATAACTTCTATTTTAAAATTTTCATGTTTATATGTGGTTTATGTTGGTACTGTAGGATCTCTTGAAAACAACAGAGATGCTCAAGGATAGACTGATTGCAGAGAGACAAGGAAAACTACTCCTTGAAGTCCAAATACGCAAAGAGATGGCCAAAGCAATGTTTCAGCAACTTATGGAAACAGAAGAAGCTTGGAGGTAAGCTGTAGGACATTATGTGGCAGGAAGGAAAACGATGTAATCTGCCTGCCCATTTCAAGGGTAGCCAAATGAATCAGTAGTTGCATAAAAAGACATCCAATTATGAATATGAACTGCAGCAAAGACAGGCCATTGATCTACCTTGAATTTAATTTTGTGTAGCAGCTATCTAAGCTACTTCAAGGGAATTGGTTTGAAACTTGTTTGCTTTTTCCTTCATTAAATTAAAACTTTCTGGCAATTGTTTAAATCCTTTCTGCTGCTCCAGAAAAAGCTCTATCATTTCCAAATCCTTTGAGCACTACTATGCTTTTATAATACACAGAAACACTTTGGTAGTATTATGGGATAAGAACTTCTAATTTTGATTTTTCATTTTGTTTCCATATTCTGTCCAACCAACTATCAATATAAGGTGATCCCATCTTTAGAAGGTTAAAATACATGGCTGAATCTTATTCATGCATGTTTGTTTGGAAGGAAATATTTATTAGACCCAAGGCTTTACAAACTGTTTATGTTTTCTGAAATATTATATCAGAAGGAATATTGCTGTTTACCAAAACACTCATATTAAGTGGAAGTGTAAATAAACAAAAGACAGAAATGGATGCTGGAAGGCAAAGCATTCTGTGTGTGTGAGAGTTCATGAACGTGAAAACCATAACAGAAAGGATATTTATTTACAAGAAATACATTACAGGAATACACAAAGCTGAGCACCTACCTCCTACCGAGGGAGAGTCCAAGAGCATGTGCCTGGGAGGAAAACAAGACAGAAGAAAGTGATCCAGATTAACAATAACGTAGACAAAGTACAGACAGAGTGATAGACAAAAAAGGGGAACAGAGGAAATCCTAGGAAAACTCTCTAGCTACTTGTATATCCTACTGTCCTCTTGTGATCAGTAAGTCAGTACCATTGGATTTGTACCTTCGACAGTGAGGTGGGTTTTGGCTGATAGCCCTTGTTAATGGATTTGGTAGTGAGTCAAACTAGCTTCATAGTATCTTTTCTACTCTGTAGTTCCAATTTATTTAAGTTTTCCCTTGATAGAATTATTAGAGGTAGGTGTCAACTAGCTAAATAATACATTGACAGGCAGTAACGTTCTCATAGTAGATGGCAAAACCCAGGTGACGTTTGCTAAGTTAAGTAGGTTTGGACCTTGTTAGGACTTGGATGGGGGAACCACCCAGAAAATCCAGGCTTTCAGGCTAGACTGAAGAGTCAAAAGCAAAAACTAATAAGCCAACACTCAGAAAAAGGAGATGGGATGGCAAACCACTTCTGTATTGTTCCAAGAATCCTGCATGGATTTGCTTATGTAATTCACCAGGAGCTGAATTTAACTTGAAGGAGATGTTTCTTTTTACTGGTAAAGTTCTAGTGAAGTATTTCATGGAAAGCTAAGATGGCCTGACAAGGCAAGTGACTGAAGGAGATGACTCTTTCCATTATTCTCCACTAGATGTATTATCTGGGGACTGGGTTGCAGCTGACTAAGAACATGCACCCATAGTTTTTAGCTTACTCCCCATCCTGGTCCAGATATGGTAAGATGTGAACCAGTCCTTAGCAAGCTCATATGTAAAAGGAAATGCCAAACAGTTGGTACTGGAGATCTGAAACATGTTAATATTGTATTGATTATTTTCAATGGTCACCACTTGAAATCAAGCTCATTGTGCAGGACAACTGAATATAGCAATAATTAAGTGCTAAAAAGTACCCTGCATTCTGGTTGTTGCTCCTTGCTGATCCAGTAAGCGCTTAGAAGATTTGAAAGAAGGTTATGAAGAAAAACTGGAGAATAAATTTGAAATGTATAAAGATGCCATAAAGAAGCATGCATACACATGTGCGATGGACCAAATTGAAGAACGCTATGTTCCAGTAGAAGAGTTCATAGCCGAACAAGAAAAGGTTCAGGTATGTCTGGTCTTAACCTATTGTCAATATGGGCATTTTTGTATAGATATCTCTAGGAATTCTATTCCAAGGTATAACTGGTAAATGTAAAACATTAAAATATGCCTCAGAGTACACTGACTGCCTGGTTTGTTGGTTTGTCACATTTGTCACATTTATAAGGCCACCTAAATTCATAAAACCTCTGCTTGAATGAACAGGAGTGTATTATAACAAGCTTTAGAGATAAAGTTCCTTACAAATTCAATACAGGTAAGCCAAAACAAACAAAGAAAGCATGAGGCACAAATGGTTTCTTGTGCTTTTCAGAAAGTTTCATTTTTATTCAGGAGACAGTCTTTGAATTCTGATTTAAATAAGTTTGGGGGGGGGAGAAGAATATTCATGTGAAACCAACATTCCAAATGATTTGGATTTTTAAAAATGTGTGATTTGTATGAAGCCTTCAACTATTATAGTGTATTATTCCTCAGGACAGAGAAATGAAAATACTAGAGTTGAAACAAAAACTTGGAGAACAAAATAGCCTGCCCTCAGAAAATCCCTGTTCAGTGTCTACAGAATGGAAGAGGAATCTAGGTAAGAAGCAAAGTCTTCCTGAGCTTACCTACACTTTAGAACAGGGTTCCTCAACCTTGGCAACTTTAAGCTGTGTGGACTTCAACTCCCAGAATTTCCCAGGCAGCCATTGGCTGGCTGGGGAATTCTGGGAGTTGAAGTCCACACAGCTTAAAGTTGCCAAGGTTGAGGAACCCTGCTTTAGAATCTGTTTCATATTCTTACCTTTGTTTGGTGTCCACAGATACTAAATGCAAGCTGGTGGAAGAAACTTCAGATGCTCTACGGAAACCGTGTGAAGAGAGAGATGAGGTAGCTTAATAGTTTATTATAAAAATACGGATGATGATAATTTGGAATCTAAAATGCACATCATCAGAATCATTCAATCCATCCAATAACCAACGTTCTCTATGCAGATTAAAATAAAGTTAGAACATTAGAAGTTGTGAAATGTTTAAAAGAAAAACCGGAAAACATAATTAAATTAATAAATAGCTCTGGGAAAACATAAAAAACCCACAATTCCAGTGTAGATTATTTAGTATTATTAAACACCGATGTGTATCTTGAAAGATACAGCAAGCCACCTCGAGCATTAATTTAAGTATTTCATGAACTCATGAAATGATTGCAAGAGTGTAAAATTAACTCTGCATGACACCAACCTTTCCATGACTGATTGGTCTGAGCATGAAGTGAACTGGCTCACTGCACATAGACTTTACATATTTGCTATATTATAATTCTGCTGTTCATTGAAGGACCAGCTTCAAACTCAAGCTAATTGTTGACTCTGGAGGCTTTCTGGCACATGGAGAGTCATCAAGAGACCAGCTCCATAACTTTTTGCAGTCATTGCCTTGCCTGCAGGCTTAGAATCTAAAGACTGATACAAAAGAAAAGCAAAGAAGTGGGGGAAGAAAGCAAAGCAGGCATTTCAACAGTACCATCTAAAAGATATAATGAAGCCCTGTTAAGGTATTCATCATCTTTAAGCGTGGAAGGCAATGAGGAAGGGCAAGGGTTCTCTTGAAGCAAATTGTAATTTTAATCTTAATGCTAAATTTGCCTTTCTCCGATTACAAAACCCACAGAATTTGCCAGCATATCAGAAGGAGTTGTATTCCTAAGAAATCTAGATTTTAGAATACATTTAATAGTTTCATGTAAAATGAAAGACCATAGTCAATTGTCAGTTGGTTATAGTGTCATTCTCAATACATTCAAAACTTTGTTTTGCAGTTAATAAAATCATTGGAATTAAAAATTCAGAAATTAAATGAAATGCTGCAAGATGCCAAGGAAGAATATAGAAAAATAGTTGAGGAGAATAATATATTAAAGCAGATGGTGATGCTTAAGGTTGGTCACATATCTGTTAAATCTGTATTTAGAGCTATGTGTTAACTTGGCACTGTTCTACTATAAGACTTGAAACAATACGCTGGGATATGCTTTCCAAAAGCCTTTTGTTCTCTTGGCCTTATTTAAAACTATTGCAGCTTCTTCACTGTGATTTTGCTTTTTCAGTTAAAAAGTAATGGTGAATACAGTAGTACTCACTTAACAATGCTCATTGAGACTGGAAATTCTAAGCAAGGAGGTTGAAAGTTAAAAAAGCACATGACTGTGCTGCTTGCAACAGCAGTTCCAGCAGTCCTGGTTGCCATCATTAAGCGAGGACCGTGCAGGTCATTAAATGAAGATCTCATGTGACTGCAACTTGTGTCTTCCTGCTGGCATCCCCATTGCTTGTGGGAAGCCAGCAGAGAAGGTCACAAATCATGATCACATGACCATGGGGATGCTGTGATGGCCATAAGTATGAGGTTCAGTCATAACTACCACTCATGCAGCACTGTCATAAGTTTGAACAGTTGCTGAAAGAATGGTTGTTAAATGAGGACCACCTGTAATGTAAGGCACTAAATGGAATTTCAGAATGCAATACCTTATATTTAAAGTTAATCTGATATGAATAAATCCTAGTTGTTAATAATACCCTTATTTCACTTGGAGATGGCTGTGCTGACTTCTTGGAACTTTGAACAACCACCTGAGATTGAATACCCAAATTCTAGCTGCTTTATGTTTCCTGTGACTATATTACAATTAGGCTGTTAGAGTGAGAACAGAGAGCAATGTTGGTTCCCCATATTTTTAAGAAAAATTGTAACTATTCGGTTAGGATGAACAGCTACAGAAGAAGCTAAGGCAGTGGGATTAAAAACACAGAATGCTCTAATTCTATTTAAATGA